CACCACCTACTAGCGACAGTCCATTTGGAAGTCGATAATCCCGGTTTCTGGGCAGTATTAAAATTGGCGCGCGGGCCAGTCTGGGAACCTATCCGCGCACCGCCCGCCACAGGTGACAAAATCAGGGTGTAAGCTCCGATCTAGCATCACACTGGTGGTACAGCAAGCCATGATTATTTTTCCAGGCTTCACATATGTGCAAGGGGGTAAAATGTAGCCTGTAAGTGTTATGAGATGCTTTTTTAAAATCATATACCTAAGGATCGAAGTAGGAGTCGGCCCTGACTGATCGAGCCTCATTTCTAAATTCCTTGAAATAGCAGGAAAACGTGTTTTCCTGCTAATGCTATAAATTTTGATAGTGTTATTATTCTTATTGAAATTATGATGATCAAATTACCATTGAAATGTTAATAACATTAAAACAATTAAATAACACAAAAGAAGATGGTATTTCTTTACAATATGGACTCACTCAAATGTCAAAAAACATATTAATCAATCTAAGTTACCATGACTGGGTGTGCCCCACGCCCTTCCAGCACTGTCTGAGGGGAGGGTTGATGGGTAACACCCCCTGAGAAACATTGTCTTCACCTCGGTATGCATGGCAAGATAGAGCTGAAACCTGGGAGCACAGAGTGGACTTAGGCCGAGAGTGGATCTTTCCACAACCTTTTTCCTTTATTTCTTGTACTATCTACTGCAACTTTTTGTCCTCTACAAGAATACCATATTCAATGTGCCCTAACTTAGTGTATCCATAACATAAAGATTAACCAAGAAGTTTTCCAAAAATCAAGGAAAAGAGTAAACAGGTGAGATAGGTAGGACTAATAACTGACTCCTTGTTGACTAAGTACTTATAGAGCCATCTATGTGCAAAGACAATAAATGAACTGTAGGCATGGCATGTATACGACCAACACTGCAACTAAGTCTTCCTCCCCCTCTGTGTGCTACACTATAACTCTCTATGTAGAAAGGGAGCCTCTATGAAACAAAGGTTACCAACTTATGGTTGATAGTTTGTCAACAACTTTAACTTTAACTTCCTTTAGAAACATCATACAGTAAACCTTGAAACAAGGACATATATGGATAGAGAGAGAGAAAAAAAAAATGGCTATAAAACAACACTAACTGATAGAGTGCAATCTACAAAAAGTGAATGTGGTATATCTATACTTAATAACTGTGCTAAGATAGGAAAAATCTAAGGGCACTGTCATAAAGATATGTAAAAAAAATACACTCGATGATACATAATATGATCTGCGCAAAGAATACCGTCAGAAATGAAAAAAAAAATAGGTCACAACAAATGCCACTCTGAGGCAGAGTCTACTCACGAGCACTTTGGCTAAGTCCCTGTGCATGAGATGCATCTATGCGCTCAGTCAAAAAATCACTCATCAAGTATAAGTCTACACGCAGCTTTCAAAGCAACTTCCTTTAAACTGCACATGTAAGTCATGTGACGTCACTACCATTAACGTCACGATAACTACTACTGGTATTTCATATCTCTTACAAATGACCAGACTGATTTTTTTTTTTTTTTTTTTTTTTTTGTATTGAATTATTAATTTTATACTATATTCTCACATACATAATCCGCCCATAAACATTCATTTATATTACATTATTAGCTACTTAACATATATTTTGGCTTTTCATAACCATCGACCTACCCTCGATTACCACTTTCACACTTTCACTGACCGCCTCTTAACCCATTCATCCCGGGTGTCACATATATGAGACACAGGAAAAAAATAAACAGTTTCGGGCTGCCCGCCAGTGCGATGCTGTCTCGGAGCCGTGCTCCGCGGCAAAAGCGGCGGGCGGACAGACTCCGGGGAAGCTCCGCCCGCCGATTTTGTAGCTTCCCGGATTTTTTTAATTTTGGCTACAAAATGTACCCCGGTGCGGGTGGGTTAACGAGTGCCCAACCCAGCTTTTGAGGACGACGTCATTCTTTCTTCCTCGAGCGTAAGACATGGAATGGAGTTTGTCACTTGTGCGATTGTGGTTTGGGAATTTTTTAAAAACAAATACAGTGAAGATACACAAGGATTAACTGTAGCGCCTAGAGCACTATCTAATTTTGAAAAATATTAAGTGTGAAAAGTGTCACAGTGACTATACCATCCACAGTAAGGTAAGTGTTTATGCCCATGATTGGGCTGTAATATATTAGGTAAAGAGCAGGTCCGGGAGCAGAGCCCCTGGCAGGAAAATACAGTGATCGGGAGAAGGTTCGGGGGAGGAGCTTTCGATAGGGAAATATGGCGATCAGGTTTTCCGGGGGCAGAGCCCCCGATAGGGAAACATGGCACTCAGGAGGGGGTCTGGGGGTGAAGCGCCTGATAGGGAAATACGGCGATCAGGAGGGGGTCCGGGGTTAGGAACTTCTTTGTTTCCTATAGCAATCTTTTTGATAGATTGTGCATTTAGGCCAGGTTCGCTTGCTCATTCATTCGTTCATGCAACGTAGTGTCAAATCTTCGTGGCCGAATCTTGGTTTGGGTTTTTCATTTTTACTCTTTCTTTACCTTTTAAAATTCATGCCAAGAGCAAAATCGACCATACCCCCCCACTCCACCCTAAAACTCCCGATTCCCCTCAGGATCCCCCGAGAATGTTGACTGGAGTTGGGGACTTTGTCTCCGATGGGTGTGGTCATGTTAGAAAGAATTACCGTGAATGTTATTCCATACTTACTAATCAAAGACAATCCACAATAATGCAAATAATCACCAAAATCTCTGCCTTCAGTACATAAAGAACCAATCTAGGCTATCACTGGACTTCAGTTCATATTCTCAAACACTTCGGACATCTTTTCCAGTGGTGATCCCAAAATGCAGATCTCTACTGGGTAGGAGGCAGAGTTCTGAACATCTCTGATTCGTTGTGACATGGTAATTGGCTGATGGGCACGTGATGCTGGCATTTCCTGTCCAGCTATTCTAGACACACAAGAAGCTCTCCATAAAAGGTATCCAAAATGCATATAATTAAGAGTGTTAGTCTCAAGCAGATGCAGTCCTTGACTCAATAATACCACTATCTTTGCTAAGGAGGTCAGAAATTAGAAGAATCTTTATGATTCTATCCTTAATTTTGGGCAATTCAGGTTGGAAATACCCTTGTCATACTTTATGAATGTTTACATTCAGTATTGCAAAATGACCATGCTCAATGTTTGTTGACTGATGTTTTCTTTCTTACAAATGTCTTTGTAATATCTATGTAGTGTTAATCAACGTTTGTTCTAGTTACTGAAGTAAATGAATAAACATTTTTCCATAATTCCCATCTTATCCCTGACTTTAGCTGAATACTTATGGTCTTAACAACAATAACAATGCATTATCTCATACAAATATGTTACAAGAAATGCAAAACAAGGAAAATATAGGATGTTTTATGCATGGGAAGTCCATATTCTAGATTATAACCCAGTCATATACCCAATTTAAAGGAAAATATGCAACAAAAGTCAACAAAACAGTCTACTAACCAGCAACTAAAAAAAAACAAAGTATTATGACTGGCCCTATACAACATATACAGCTAAGTTGTTAGCAAGTAGTAGTCAGCTGATATATGAATGACAACTTCCAATATGAGCAGATATTAAAACTGCAAGGAATACTGGTATCAAGAGAGGAAAAGACAATATAATACCTCTATAAAAACTGCTAAAGATTATGAAAAATGACTAGAATGTTCAATTCTCAATATATAATGAGGGAGTCTATGAGCTGAATACCAGTTATTAAGAACTGACATATTAACAGAGAACATAGGGTGATAAAATAGGATAACAGGATTAAATATGCAACATCAGCAAATACTGCTAACTATAAATAGTGAACAAATGCCTATCATCTTCAAACACAATTTTGAAGATATCAACCACTCAGCATGAAATCCCTAAATTACTTTCAAAAGACAATCAAAAAGATAGTTAATCAAATCATGACCACATAAAGAATGAATGGAACGACTGTAATTTAATGGAATGATCATAAATAAAAATTTGTCAAATAAAAATTGTCCTCACTATTACCATATGTATGGTATATAATGTCTGGAATGTTAATGCTAGCCACAATCCCTTATCAGTCTGTATATCTACACTCTGAGTAATACTATGGCTGCAGCACTTCACACTCTGCCAATGGTTAAAGAAAATCTACCATATACATTCAGGCAAGACAGTGCTAATAGACCTTCTCCAAGATTAATCATCAACTAAAGATCCAATCTACGCTTCATCTTGCCTGAAAATTCATGGCCGAGATTAAATAGCATGAAGCACTGAGGCCATGGTATTACTCGATGTAATCCTGCTCTGCACAAATACCAACAATTGATCAAGTAACATGGATTAACAGAGCAAGTAGTTCCCTACTGTCCCCAAAACATCCTGAGCTGAGAGTTAGTTCAATGGCAAGAGGCTGCATGGTCAATGTTGCTTTGGCCTGCCTGAATCTTGCTCACATATTCAACTACAGTAAAATATCATTTCAGAGTGAAGCCTCCTGCACAATACAGCAAAACACCAAAAGCTGGATACCACTTTCCGGTAAATTACCCCCCTAAAAATCCCCCCGAGAAAACGTTGACAAAATAAACAAAACAAACACATGCCGAGTCGAGAGAATTTTTAAAATACGAGCATTCTATAACAACTGCCTTTACCAACCGTTAAGCCCCCAGCCAGTCCCCAGCAGCAGCCCCTTGCCAAAAGCCCTTCCCCACCGTGCCCACAGAGCCTAAAATCAGCCTTAGAGCGAGGCAAGAGCTGGCAGACTGAAAAAGGCTCCTCTCGGCCTCGTCCCAGGAGGGGGTCCCGAGCCTCATCTCGCCCTCATTCTCCCTCTTCCTCCCCTCACAACGCCTCCTCGCCCAAATCCCGGACATCCATTCCCTTAAAGGACTCCCCCTTAACGGTTGGCAAAGGGATTCACCGCCATTTCACTCAC